GCTATTTATGATTAAATATATTTTATTATCTCTATTAATTAAAAAGAACTATGTATCCTTATTGGTAGGCACCTACTTATTGTAGGAGAGAATAGAAGAATTGGAACCATCTATAAAAAATTGCCAATAAAAGTCACATTTGTTACAATTATTATAACTATTAATTATTAACTTGTTTACTTGAGTATCAGATTATTACAGTTTAAATCAAGTATATTTGAATATTTAGGTAAAATAAGAGATTTTTCAAAGAAAGTAATTTGCTGCTTCATACTTCGGGAAATGAGATCAATCTCGATTGGCGGTAACTTTTAATCACTTTATAATATAAAACATCTTAGTTTTGTGTTTAAAAAAATAATTGTTAAACAATGCAAGGAAATAAATATTTAAAGGATAATTACAAGAACATAAAGCATAAATGTAAGAAACTGGATAGCATGGAACTGCTAGAACATTCTTTATGCGCCCAGTTTCCACAATTTTTGCAACGATGGATATCACATATAATATCTCCACTTTTGCCTGTATTTAAACAAATTGCACATAGAGTTTCTTCTTCTGAGTATTTTTGAGAGCCATGTAGACTCGTATTACTCGCCAACTACCCTATTGAAAATTAATAATACAAATATTTCATGTGACTTTAGATCACAATTTAACTGGCACATAAAAGAAGACAGATTTGGGTACATAATTAGTATAAACATAATACAATGAACTTATGTCTTATGCTTACTTAAAGGCTGACTAATCTTAATTTTTTACAAGCGTGGAGCAAAATCTCGATAAGTGTTCCTTGTGACTCAACGCGAGATACTAATGAGTTGGGTATATTAGGGGCACTTTTTCGCTGGTTAATAACTTAGTACAAGTACCAAAGGGTGCGTGAGAAAATAAAACTACCATTCAATTGCCATATCTCTTATTACTCAACCCCATTCTCCCCTACAAGTAAATAAAAACTTTATATGCCGTTATGTAGTTACGTGTATGTATGGATAATATAATAGAGGCAACCTTCAACAAGTTTAAAGTTTTGCCAATATATAATCAATAATTCAAAAAGAAAACAACTTTCAAGCACACACAGCAAATATCACAAGAATTCTCATACATTTTTATTGTTAAAAGTTTCGTAAGTACACATTATATTTTAATGTAATAACTACCGACTGAGTGGCTGTGACGAGAGCAGTCAAGCTTGTGCTTACGCCACAGCTGCTCAAGACTAAGGGTCCCGAATAGTCCCGAAACTAGTTGAGCTTTCTCGACTAAAATACACATAAGTTAAATCGGTTTTTCATCATGTCAGTCGTCTACTGTCCTCTACTACTACTAGTGTACATAGACCTCCCCCAAAAGAGGTCTGTTACAGGAGCCAGTTGGAAGGGCCAAGATCGTCAATTTGGTACTCGACTACCTACTTGAGATTGTATATAAACCGGTAGTTATTACATTAAAATTCTGTTACATACCTAAAAAGCGTTGACATAAGTGCATTATTATTTATGTTATGTTAATTTAATATGAAGTAAAAACAAGAAAACCATACTATTACGGATTTTCTCCAATGCATTATAATTTTATGCAAACAAGACTACATAGCAAACTATATAAGTTACATAACCCGGTGCTTTGAAGTAGGCAGCTACCTATCTATTAAGATTAAAACCTCGTTATTATATGGTGGGTGTAATAATAATATGCTCCTTTTGTATTTTGCAGCACATTGCATGTAAAGTAAGTATGCTCTAAATTATAATGATTTACTATAGGGAAGGTATTATTTTCTTTATTATGGAGTAGACACTCTACGGGGCGGCCAGTCGACTCGAGAGCGCCATGTTGGGTTGTAAAGTCATGTCGTAAACACTGATATATTGAAGTGAAGCCATTATGTGGCTGCACCACCATTTGACGTTTCATTGTCAGATTTAGCGGGCATTGAACGGACTATGGGACTCGAAGGAACTGGTCGTGAGTTATCCAGTTCCGCGACTTCGCGACTCTACTAGTATCTACTATATAGGTTTATATATACCCAGCTAGTCAATTTTGATCGAATAATATTTATATAAGATATTTTTATTTTATTAAATTATTAGGTACTTATTATATTTACTAGATTATAGAGTTATAATAGCTTTAGTAGAGGCACATAGAAATGTCTCTATGTGTTTGAAAAGCAATTTTTAAATTTATTTATATATGGCTATTAATAACGTTATCAAGAGCACAAAAATAAAATTTAATATGATTTAGAATAAACTTTTTGCCTGCTATTTCGTGTGCATGGATATTAGAAGTAAGAAAACTAATGAAATAGACAATTTAAAAATGGCGTATTAAGATAAAACATACACTTGATTTGAAGATAGACCTTCAGAAATATAACTGTGGAAACTGTACCCAATTTGGTGAAGTAGTTTTTGAGTGATGCTAGAACAAACATACCGATAGAAAATTAGAAAATTTTCTATAAGTTATTGTTTTGGTATTAATTTTATTAACACACCTTATTTTATTTTTCTTTAATATATTCCATGAATAGATATCATCTATTTATGGGATATGCTATGTATATCTAATGCACTCTCTATGTATATCTAATTCATTATGCTAGTATAATAATTTTATTATATTAGCATAGTGTTAAGAGTCTAAAGTTATTTATATTGTGTTAAGATGTTGAATGTAAAACAACATAGAAATGTGGAATGTTTCACTAGTCTATAAAAATAGGTGCAATTTTAATAAGTAAGAAAAAATCGATATAAATTACCACAAATTATTTATTTTGTTTTTTATGGGATTTTCAAAAGGTGAAGTAAATTAAAACCGATTTTAATAATTGTTTTTGTAACGAATAATGTTTACTTCTATGGTGACTCACTTCCATCTTAGGACAATTAATTACCGTTTTTAATATCAGGAGAAAAAACTGTTTTAGAAATAAAATTTACTTGTAGACAATCATTGTAGCATTCTTAATTCAAATAATAATTTTAATCTAATGCAGTATTCATTGTTTATTGATGTATTTTGTTACAACTGAACGCTTTAATTATTGCGATTCGCTTCACTGTTTTTTGCGTAATGTGTAGAGACATAAATTGAAAAAAAAAAATTGTATGGAGTCAATAACAAAATTTAACTGCAATCGGTTGAAGTAGTTGTATTAGTCTAGTTAGTAATGCAATAATAAAAAACACATATGTATTTCAATGAGTCGAGTATATTTTTGTTCAATAGTGTATTAGTGGACTTTCCTATAATGTGAAAGAGGTATTAAATTGGAATAGAATAGAAATAATCTTTATTCAGATAGATTTTTTTACAAGCTTTTTTAAATCGTATTTTTTTTTTATAATTGTTTTTTTTTTTTTTTATTCGGAATGTTGTTATGTGCGGAGAAGAATCCATAAGAAACTTACAGTTACACTTATTTTACATTTGTATGAGTACTGTGGCTATAATTAGCAGTGAGTTTTTTTTATACTCGTATGTATTATTCAATGTGAAATAAATATGAAAACATGAGAGGAACAGTCCTCACAAGCGGCACCTGTATACAAGTATGAAGGAATTGCATAATGTAAATTTACGTTTAATTTTAGTTTTTTTTATATTTTTTAACTTTATTAATATTATAAATGCGTAAGTGACTTAGTGTTTTAGTTACTTCTTAGCGCCTTAATCCCTGAATCAATCATTATGAAATTTTATATACACTCACTACCTATATGTATAAGACGAAGAAAGAAAAAGGTATTTATTCCGACCAATCGACATCCTTGGCATCCGAACGAATACGTGGATAAAAGCTAGTTAAATAAGTATTATGCATGTTATGTTATATACTCGTATATTGCGACATGAATATACAAAAAATCAATTTGTTTTTTGCTATCAGTGCATTTATATATAGAATTTTTTTCTTAATGCATCGTGCTTCACGTTTAATTTTTTTTTTTACTGGAACTTAACTGATTTGACGGTATATTTAATGAAAAGTAGTAACCGCCAATAGAGATAATGCCACCATCGGTATACTACAGAATGTGACTGTGGCGGCTTCATAAGAATTACCGCTCTTGATCATTACATGATTGATTACATCTTTTAATAACAAATATTTCATTGGTCACTGTCTCCTATCTTTCAATTCAAAACACAATTCACATATTACTGCTTCATGGCAGAAAAGTGGTGTCTCCAGGTGATTCACAAAAACTCTATCGATAATATTGTCAGAGGTAGTACTGAATTATAGATTTATAAATTATATATTTTAGCGAAATTACCACTTAGTACTTTAAAACCATTTGGTTTTTGCTTCAAGTTATTTTTATTACACTCTTACAACTATATAGATATTTTGTAGATACACAGAAGAAATAGAGATGCTTAAACGATTATATAAGTCGTTATTTATACAACCATATCCCCATCTTAATTTCTCTTAGAGTAATATATTACCATTAATAATACGAGTAGGTATATAGTACTATAATAAATCTATACTCATAAAATCGTTTGTCCTGATTGACTATTAAAGTACAGGCAAAATTACTAAGTCTAAAAATTTTAAATTTGAAACATAGGTTTACTTTATAACGTAAACATCCGCTAAGAAAGGATTTTTGAGAATTTAAACTAAAAGGAGATATTCAACACAATGCATGCAAAGCATCGAGCTATATATATATATATATATATATATATATATATATATATATATATATATATATATATATATATACTAATCATTATATAAATTGATTTTTAAAGTATTCGTTTTATAACTAGACCGTTTCGATTCGTTTTATAACGAGAAAAACCTGCAGACCATCTTAACAAAAGTTCGTCGATCTGAACAAACAAGGTGAACAACAGGTTCGGTTCAGATAGACTCGACTCATTTTTATTTAGCCTGGAGCTGGAGCCGGTGCGCTCTGGTCAAAGCCCTGACTTGTCCTTAAATAATTCATACTTACGAATCAATTACTCCAGAGAATCTTCTGATATATCTGCCACCGTTTGCACAATCGCTAGTCCCGGTGCATGTATGTCACCAATATAATTTTTCATAGTCACGAATCCGCGGGAAAATGCTGTATCACCGTGCGTGCGAGTTGCACGGGGTCTGCACACAAACTAAGCGACTATCTATATCTGGGTTTTGAGTTCGTGATGCGTGACGAGTGCACGTGCGTGGTGTTCAGACGCATCTCGACTAGACAACTTTGGGCTGTGGTCAACGCTTGATCGAGAGTTGCGGATTACGACTCATTTCGCGACTTGGCGGACTTGTTTTGATGATAAGCTACTCAGTTACGTCACGAGACGTGAGGCAATAGAACGCTGTAACATGTTATTTGTTGAATTGCAACTGGGTGTCTCGATATTTTAATCAGATATCCAATTGCAGTTATCAAATGCAATGTTAGTTTTAGATCTATGATGAATGATGATTGATTTATATTATAGGTAGGGGAGCGCGGGGCTGGAAGTTCCGATTTTCTAATAACATGAAATTTTATCATAAAAATAAAGGATTTCATTTTCAACATCAGTAAATGTTGGACGGCTGTTTATCGTTATTTGTAATATTGTAGTCGCTTCTTTTTTTCTTTCTACTAATATCTTAACAATTCTTTTTACAGAAGCAAATTTCTAACAAATTTTGAGCGGAACATTCAACCCCTGTTTAAATGGGGCAAGTTGTTCCAAAAACCTTTGAGGCAAATTGTTCCGCTTAGATTATAACAATATTGCGGTAGAATAATAAAGGTTTTCTTAATTAAAACAACTTATCTATAAATATATTAATCTTAAGTTTATTATATTCAAAATCTTTACGATCGTACATAAAAAAACTATGTTATACCTATTTAAATCGTATATCTGTCATATAACTATATATACTTTCAAAATCAACAAAGATTAAGTGGTAACCTCTAGACAACTTTTCTATTGAGATAAATTTTAATTAACACTAATTTTAATCATCAGTCTTATTTTAATCAGTTGTAATTAACTTTGGCAATCTCCATTTTTATTCATTAGTAATCTTATTTATCACTTATGTCTTCGTCTGACTCACAGTTAAAAAGTGTCTGTTAAAAATAATATTTATCTTTCGTAAACGACGTTTACGAAAATTATATCATGATCCGGCTAATCTTGGTGGTGCTTTTAGGCAAAGGCTTTACAATTTCAGGGTTAAACACACAATTTTTCCTAACTGGCGTTAATTGAAGATCTTGATTAGTGGTCAGTGTTGAATATGCGTAAGTACTAATCGAATTAAAGAAGTTGCTGCAAATCATTCTGAGTTACCTCAGATTGATTTGCAGCTAGAGTTTTCATATTGGATGGTCCTGGTTGGTCATATTCTGCCAAAGTTGAGTTGGTAGAAGACTGAGAAGGCTCTTTATTTGACAAAGGCCGATCTGTCACAAAAGATGGAGCAAAATCTTGATCTGTAAAAATATCGGGATTATAAGGACATATTCCAGTTTTTTTGAATGCGTTCATAATATTTGTAGGGGTCGCTGCTAATGGCCATGCTGTTTTAACAATCCCAGGAATTTCATAAATTGACATAGTTTTGCCCGGATTGTTTCGGAGCCAGTTATCTTGGGCTTTGGCACAGTATGTTTTAAAAGGCCCGTTAATGCCAACATCTAGAGGTTGTAGCCTGTGAGTGCAGTGAGGGGGAAATGACAACATAATGATGGAATTGGCTTTAGCTTTTTCAACTACGCTAATATTAATGTGTGATGAGTGATTGTCTAATAATAATAACACCGGTTCTTCTGGAGAGGGTTTAGTGAACTTTATGAAATGGTCCATAAAAATGAGGAATTCAGTAGTAGTCATCCATCCTGAGCTATTTCCAGCTCCGACTGACTCAGGAGGGCCATCGCGTAAAAACAAATCTTTATACTTTAAACGTGGAAAAATTGGATGGTATCGTATTTCCTGCAGCACTGGCTGCTAGCTCCACAGTAACCAAAGCACCGCGTTCAGCAGATACTATAGAATGTACCGACCTGCTTTGTTCCTTTTTGAGCCACTATCTTCTTTGGTTTTAAAACGGTCGATACTCCAGTCTCGTCCAGGTTCCAGATTCTTGATGGTGTCAATTTATATTTCAGCAGAATTTCACTAAGCTTCGAGAAAAATTCGTTTACATTATGTCTGTTAAATGCAGATGCACGTCCTACACTAGTCGCTTCGGGGGTTCTTATTGATAAAAGAGGGTTCCTCTTTATAAATCCAGTGAACCAATCTGCGCCAGTTTCTCGATTCTTGTGCCATGACGGGGGAATGTTTTCTAAAGAAAATTTTACTGCACATTCATATGCGAGTTTTCGCACTTCTCCAGGCAGAAGACCAAAATAAATTGAGTTTTAGCTGTTTAATAATATTGTCATTTTAAAATATAGTTTGCTAACTGTTTTTACTGTTCTGAGGTAAACACTAGCCTGGGTTTATAACATATGGTAGGAATCTTGCCAGCTTTCAACTTTACAACAAATCGATGTAACGTCATGTGGCAAATTTCAAATTCTCTTGCTACAGTTTTAACAGGTTTTCCATCCTTGATGACAGCATCTGCAGCTCGACGCAATAATGTCTCGGAGGTTTTACCTCTCTCTGTCTTGCGCTTGTAGTTTCGCATCCTTAAAATAAAAAAAACAAAAAATAAACGTCATAAGAATTTTACATACGACTTAAAATCAATTGGGGTAAATTGTTCCGGGGAACAACCAGCCCCGCCAAAAGGGACCTTATAACCCCAAATTACATTTATATATGAACACTGACTTACCGGCAAACTAATAAAATCAATAAAAACAATACCTAAGTACTAAGATACCTTACTAATGTCACTACAATTTAGGAAAGTTATGCATAAATAGGTTCATAATAAACAGAGATAGACCAAATAGTTTAAACCCAAAAAAATTTACTTACGTGATGTTTTGACAGCAACGTGCATACAGCCACTCAACCGCCGTCGCTGGAGTAACTAAAATTTGGGCTGTGGTCAACGCCGACGTGGCGAATCATCTGATGTTTTAACGACGCATTTCACATGTCTTGCTATCTCTTTTCTTTACAAAGTTATTACCATCGGAACAATTTACCCGGGGAACTTCCAGCCCCGCGCTCCCCTATCTGCATATTTAAAACGGATTTATATGTATGAAATGAAAGACTATAAGTGACAACATATCTGATGAAAATTGGTAACCGTTGTCTATAGATATAAACATTATATTACGGAATACACTGTGACGCCCATGATGTTCCTCATTTGTTGCTATTTAGATAATCTAATATCTGTTGTTTTAGTTATAAATTAGGTATATTCAATAATTTACTTTTGCGATTATTTATTTTGATATCAGTGTCAGTGTCAGTCAATTCACAAATTCACATTATAAGCTCGAAGACATGATTATGTCATTAGATACGAGTAAATTATGAAATATTAATAGATGATTCTGTCTCGCGAAGTCTCGTAGTAGCCGATCATATCAGAGAAGGTAACCGCTTACGATTACCATCAGGCGAATTGTATGTTTGATTGCAACCTATATCTTTCTGATATAAATATACACAATTTTAATATATTAATATCAAAATAAAATATCATATATTTAAATAAAAAGTAGATATAATAAATAAATAGATAGATATTCTTTATACTAGTCTATCCTAATATTATAAACAGGAATATTTTCAAAAATTTTATATACTCGTGCGAAGCCGGGCCGGGTCGTTAGTGTACAAATGGAATATAAGTTAGAAATTGTTAAAATGAACCTTAAGAAAATAAATAAAATAAATAATTAAATTAAATTTGAAGAAGATGAAAATAAAATTATTGGTCATAAGACAATACGCGCATTAAAAGAAATTAAATCAAAAATACATTGTAATACCTACCTATGATTATACACAGAGGCCTTAGGGAGTGGCGAACAGGGCAATCGCCCGGGACCTCGGTCTTGCAAGGGCCTCGCGTAACAACCCAAGCAAATTTTAAACAACCAGTGAGTGACATTTTGTCTAGTAGCAAGTTGCAAATACTTCCCTATTTAGGCATTTTCATCACGAATGAACAAAATTACCAATACTAAAATATACTAAAAATATATAAATAGAAAAAAAAACTTTTGTAAAAAAAATGTAAAATAAGACAGTTTTCTTGAATCAGCGGTAAATTTCCATTAATTATAAAAACATTTCTCCTGGAATCATCGTTTTAGATTGCATTTAAAATGATTTGGTAGTTCCCGTATATGATGCCTATGGCCACATTCTATCATCGTACGGCTCGCCATCGACAGGGAGTTCACCCTCATACCTTACAGCCTAAATGGTCGCGTACAACGCGGTTTCAGATATGCTTTCTCCCATGAACACTCAGGTTATGGAATGAGCTCCCTGCCGAGGTTTTCCCAAGAGACTACAGCATGGGGTTCTTCAAAAGGGGGTAAAGAAGTTTCTTCAGGGTCGGCAACGCGCGCGTAATACCTCTGGTATTGCAGGCGTTCATAGGCTACGGTAACCGCTTACCATCAGGTGGTCCGTATGCTTGTTTGCCACCTCAGTGGTATAAAAAAATAAAATAAAAAAAAAGAAATATTTTGGAATCATTATTGTCATAAAATATTTTTTTTTTGATAAAGAGCGAATTTAGAATTTGGTAAAAGTCGGGTCTCTGGATAAATGTTTTTTGTTTTTATGCATTATATATGTATTTATATACGTGTATTGTAGGTATAATAACATACATACATTAATATATGTATGTTATTTTTAAACTACTGTTTTACTTTCATATTGTTTTTGTTTTCCATTTATTTGTTCATCACGTTGCACTGTCAATTATATTTTCTGTTATTCTTATCTACGGTCGACTTAACGACATATTATGTTAAGTCCGCCCTTTACTCTATTTAGGATTTTTAAAATTTAATAAATAAATAAAGAAATAAAATAAACGCACATCCTTACGTATGGATTGCATTCCGTAATTATAACTTACAACTGGGTAACTTTTATTAAAAACAATATTTCTGGTCACATTAAAAAAATCAGTTACAACAATAGTGTGGCTACTTTCCCGTTCCACACCGATGAGTCCATTGACGAGCATTTTCTTTGATGCGATAGTGTGGACGCGCCCGATTACTCTCATATGTAACCTCATTTACTCAAG